ACTGCCCCAGTTCAGAGCCAGATGCCCCAGCCACCTCCCCAGCTCCTGTGCCCTAATTCCTGCCCAGATCTTGCAGCCCCACCCCGTGCTCCTGCCCTGAGCCCTGCTCCACACGCTATACCCCCTCCTTCACTCCAAACACCACATCCCCAGCCCCACCCCGGATCCCGCAGCAAGAGCCCTCCTCCCCCCAACCCTGGGTCCCCTCCCAAGCTCCGAATCCCTCAGCCCCACCCCTGCCAAATATCATCTAGAATAGGTGAAGAATGAATTTTGTTCTGAGCGCCATAACAGAGGTGGTGTGTTGTACGTCATCTCCGTATTGGTGCCCTTAACAAAATTCATTCCGCACATGGACCTAAAAAATGAGAGAGAACACAGCCCTCACTCTGACCACTAGGCACCACACCTCTCCCAGAGCTAGAGAGAGACCCTCAGAGTCCTGGCTCCCACCCCTTATAAGTTAGTTGCCATGTCCCCTTCCTGGGGACCCCCAGCTTTTCTGCCCTCCCGCTTGAAATCCCTAGGCACCTTGCAGGTTTCTTTCAGAGACTTCCCGGATCTCAGCTGATTGAGTCCCCCTCTGAAATGCCCTGTGAGCTGTGGGGTCTCACCGCAGCCCCCCAGAACTGAGTTTTAGTGGGTATGGCCTCCCAGCACTGAAGGTGGGGGCAATACAAGTGGGGGGATGCCCCTTTCAAGGCCCCTCCGTGACTCCTCCCCCTCGGTGCCCCTCCAGGTGTTTTACCTGCGCGCCGACATGGCCATCGGCTCCCTGACCATCAACGAGGAACGCTCCGAGATCATCGACTTCTCCGTGCCCTTTGTGGAGACGGGCATCAGCGTCATGGTCTCACGGAGCAACGGGACCGTCTCACCCTCTGCCTTCCTGGGTCAGTGCCCACCGCCACTAGGGGGCATCCTGGGGGGCAGGGCAGGAGCCCTGGTGGTAGGGAAGAGCTACTTGGCCCCAGCCTCTGCCAGCAAGGAGGGCGGTGGGGAATGGAACCCAGGAGTCCTGGCTCCTGGCCTCCCTGCTCTAACCAGTAGACTCCCCTCCCCACCCGGAGATGGAGAGAACCCAGGACTCCCAGCCCTTTGCTCTGACCAGTAGACCACCCTCCCTTCTCAGAGCTGGGACGAGAGTCCAGGCCTCCGATCACTGACTCCCCCCTTCCCCCGCAGAGCCTTACAGCCCAGCTGTCTGGGTAATGATGTTCGTCATGTGCCTGACCGTGGTGGCCGTCACTGTCTTCATCTTCGAGTACTTCAGCCCTGTGGGTTATAACCGCAGCCTGGCTGCGGGGAAGCGTGAGTCCCACCCTTACCCCCACTCCAACCGGGGACAGGAAGGGACTGCGGGGCGGGAGTGAGGGGCACCAGTAGTGTTGGGGGGTGGACAGGCCCAGGGCAGGGGCTGCAGTTTGGGAGTGAGGGGCACCGGCGGGGCTGGGGGGCAAGGCTGGGCAGGCAGAGGCTGTGGGTCAGGAATGAGGGGCACCGGCAGGGCTGGGCTGGCAGGGGCTGCAGGTTGGGAATGAGGGGCACCAGCAGGGCTGGGGGGCAGGCCCAGGGCAGGGGCTGCAGTTTGGGAGGGAGGGGTACCGGCAGGGGTGGACTGGCAGGGGCCGTGGGTCAGGAGGGAGGGGCACCGGCAGGGCTGGGCTGGCAGGGGCTGCAGGTTGGGAATGAGGGGCACCAGCAGGGCTGGGGGGCAGGCCCAGGGCAGGGGCTGTGGGTCAGGAGTGATGGGCACCGGCAGGGCTGGGCTGGCAGGGGTTGGGAGTGAGGGGCACCGTAGGGGGCAGGGCCAGACTGGCAGGGGCTGCGGGTCAGGAGTGAGGGGCACTGCAGGGCTGCATTGGAGAGGACATCCATGCAGCCGGGAAGGAGAGCTCTGTCTGTCTGTCTGCCCCATGTGGGAAGATGTCATCCTGTTTGGGAAGCAGCATGTCTGGACATAACAGGAAGAACCCAGCAGTCCTCATTCAACACCACCCCAGATCCTAGAGCTGCACTAAGGGGCACTGTGGGGCAGGGTGGGGCCTCAGCGGGTTCTGTGGGGACTGGCCCCACCCATGGTGCTTTGCAGGCACGGGGGGTTCCAAGTTCACCATCGGCAAGTCCATCTGGCTGCTCTGGGCTCTGGTCTTCAACAACTCGGTGCCGGTGGAGAACCCCAAGGGCACCACCAGCAAGATCATGGTGCTGATCTGGGCCTTCTTCGCCGTCATCTTCCTGGCCAGCTACACGGCCAACCTGGCCGCCTTCATGATCCAGGAGGAGTACGTGGACACGGTGTCAGGGCTGAGCGACCGCAAGGTGAGGCTCCCCTTCTGCTGCTGCCGCCCCCCGATCCCTGTTCCCATGCTGCACAGCCACCCCCCGCAGCCGCAGTCAATCCCTGGACATGGCTGGCTCCAGCCAGGGCTGGACCACCTGGAGTGCGACAGACCCCATCTAAGCAGAACCACTCAATCCCTGGCCCTCCCCAGAGCCAGTCCAGCCAGATCCCAGCCATTGGCTAGATCCTGCTGGTCCATGGGGCTCAGCAATGCCGGTCCTTGATAGAGTGAACCCCATGAGACCAAGACAGCTCCTAGATCTCTAGATCTGGTCCGGTGGGTCAGTCACTAGATCGCGCTAGACCCAGGTTTGCCTGGTCTATGGATCATAATAGATTAGTATCACTACATCCAGCTGATCGGTGGGTCACAGTAGAACCAGCAAGGGTGGGACGAGTTGCTCCGTGGGTCACAGTAGAACCAGCAAGGGTGGGACGAGTTGCTCCGTGGGTCACAGTAGAACCAGCAAGGGTGGGACGAGTTGCTCCGTGGGTCACAGTAGAACCAGCAAGGGTGGGACGAGTTGCTCCGTGGGTCACAGTAGAACCAGCAAGGGTGGGACGAGTTGCTCCATGGATCACAATAGAATCAGCAAGGGTGGGACGACTTGCTCTGTGGGTTGCGGTAGAACCAGCAAGAGTGGGACGAGTTGCTCCGTGGGTCGCGGCACGTCCAGCATGGCTCAGCCCAGTTGATAGCCATAGACACAGTCGACTCTAGACAGATCCAGCCAACCTGCATCAAAAGTGCCTCACTCCCGGGGGTAGGGCAGGATGGGGATTCGGGGGGTGAAGTGGGGAGGGAAGGCTGTTTAGATGAGTGTTTAGTGGCTGCACCTTTCCCCCCAGGGGGTAATCCATCCTGGTGCCCTCTGTGGGTAATCAATCGCCCCCTCCCCCCCCCCAGTTCCAGAAGCCCCAGGACCAGTACCCACCACTCAAGTTCGGCACAGTGCCCAACGGCAGCACGGAGAAGAACATTCGCAGCAACTACCCCGACATGCACAGCTACATGGTGAAGTACAACCAGCGCAGCGTGGAGGACGCGCTGCAGCACCTCAAGTCGGGGTGAGGCTCGGGGCTGGGAGGGCAGGGCTGGAGGGAGAAGGGAGGAGCCAGACGGAAATGGGGCAGGGCCAGGCAGAGGGGCAGAGCTGAAGAGAAATGGGAAAGAGAGGGGCTGGAGGGAGATGGGAAGAAGGCGGGGCCAGGAGGAGGGGATTGGGCCGGAGGGAGATAAGTCCAGGGGGATCTAAGGGTATGGCTACACTAGTCATAGGCGTGCGCAGCACATTTCATTAGGGTGTGCACCCAAAGAATTTTGAAAAAATGCACTTTGACCCCCCCATTAGCCACACTCCTGACCCCTGTTAGCCACACCCCTGACCCCTGTTAGCCACGCCCATGGAGGTAACCCTCTCCAGGCAAGATGGGCACATGACCAAAAGTTAAAAGTGTTATGTGACCCCCGACCCAAGGACTTTCCCCACCATCCTCCTACCAATAGGGATTAGTTTGGCCCCCACCAACCCCCC